TTTATACTCCCTCTTGGAAGCTGGAAGCCTCCATGATGTTACATCATCTATTTTGGACTGTATTCCCAGGCTTCCTCCCTGTATGGGTTTCTGGACTTCTGCTTTTTGGTAAACAACCCAAAAACGTTCTGAAGATCTTTGGACTGTCTTCCATAGGTGAGGAAGTCAGGGCTCCTTTATCAGGCAAACTGCTGACCCAACAACAAGGTGCAAAGAGCTGCAGATTTGGAAGGTGCAGTTCCAATTTTTAACTCTTTCCTGAGAATTAGCACACTAAAGGTGGGGAATTACCCTTACCCTCCTTCCTGGTAAGGAACAGCTCAGGTAACAGTCTCTCCTATTCGTTGCAAATACTACTCAGCACTCAAATAAATAAATAAATAAATAAATAAATGCAGCTTTCTACCAAAGTGCTCCTGAAGGTGCTGAGCAGTGGGGCAAAGGAGCTGATCCCCTTTGGTTTGAGTGCTAGTGAAATGCAGAGTCTGACGGGCTTTTCTCTCTTAAAGCAGCTCTCAGTGTGGTTGTTTGGTAGCTCACAGCTCAGCCAGGCTGCAGGTGCCTTCTCTCCCCGCCTCCCTTTGGATCCACCCAACCTGAGCCTGGGAGCGAAGGCCACAGAGCTGCTGGCATGTTTTGAAATATGATACAGGCAGCGGCATTAATCCAAACACTGATGGCAGTTCTTATGTAATGCAATAGAAACTCTACACGCCAGAAACAACAATATCTCTTTCTTACATGGGAGAATGAGTGGCTCTGGGACATTTTTTAAAATGCTCCTAATACATGAAGATTCCAAAAGCTGTCCTGTGGAGGGACCCACAAAGTTCTTGGAGCCCTGGTTATAGAGCTGGGCAGCTCCCCATCCACCTGTGGTAGGATAAGAAGGTCTCACCAGGCCTGGGTGTCGCCAGAATGGCCCCTGCCTGCTCCTCACCACCAGGTCCTTTCTTGAATGAGCTCAGTGATGAGCACAGTGCAGACAAATTGTGATGTCATGTTTATATACAACATGTTCAGAATTAAAGGTCATATCCCAAGGTCCTTAGTGAGGCAAAGCTCCTGGCCAGGTGTGTATTTCACAACCTAGACCACACTGGGCAACCAGTTTGTAGTGGGAGACCTCCCTGATTTCTGCAGAATTACCTGAACAATACCTGACTGAAATCCTGTCAGGTGCAAAAAGATGACCTTCCTGATACCTGCTCAGTATAAACTCTTGTCCCAAAGTTTTCCCAGAGCCCACACGAAAGAGCTAGCCCCTGGATCTTCTAATTTATGCTTTTTGAATGTAAACCAGTGAGAAGCTCCTGATGTACAGAGCAGATCCTCACAGGGCTGGAGAGCTCTCTGGACTTGGCCATGCCTTTTCCTGCACTGCTCAGGGGAAGGGAGCTGTTGCTCTTTCTTTGCTGGTTTCTAGAAGATTTCCATTTTCTCTACCTCACCCTGGTTGTCTTCAATTTTATGTCACCTCCTGGCAGTTGTGAGCTGCTGTGATATTAAAGAAAACACACTCCAGTAACAGCATCATCTTTCTTTCCAAGCTTGAGTGTTTAAAAGGGCTTGCTGCTTCTTGAATTCTCCATGTCAAAAAAATCCCACCAAAATCCACTTAGAAGCCTTATCACTTTTCCTTGTAGACAAAAAGATTTGAGGTCTTACACTGCTGTATAAATGAACATTGTCAAATAAAAACTTGGTACTAGCTCTACTGGCATTGAAATTCAAGTCTGTATCACGTGGGAGACTCAGCTTGAGAGGTACCTGTAAGTACTTAGGGAAAATATTTATTTTTATTTGGAATAAAAAGAAAATTTTACCTGGCTTTGTGACAGAGAAATTTGTTTCTGGAACTAAAACTGTGGTATGGGCTTGCTATTGTAATCTCTTCTCATTCAAATTTTTACCTGAAATACAGGGAAGAAAATAATTTACAGTCAAGCTGGGCCATGTTCAAGCGTTTGCTGAAAATGCCTGGGGAAAATTCACAGCTCTGACATTTAATGAGCACAACCGATGGCTCTCAGAAGTTTGACTGGCTGCCAGATTGATATGTCTGTGTATCCCATCAGAGGCCGTTATATCTCATTTAGTTTGTTGGATTTTTTTTCTCTCTGATCTCTGTTAAATTGATTTTTAGCCAGTTTGTTTGGCAATCGTGCTGAAGATCTGCAAAGTGGACACAAGATAGGAACAATGCTAAGCAACCAGATGTAAAAAGACTGGAGCAATAAGAACGCATATTTGTTTTTCACTGATTAAACATGATTTACCAGCTGGGAAACTGCCTTGCAGGATATACTGCAGTTCCATTAAACTAATCCAGAGCACAAACACATCACACAATGTGCCCTTACAAACACGCCTCCTGCAAATACCCCTGCACGCAGGAAGTGATACAGCAGGAACGGATTAGGTGACAGTCACTGGAGACACAGATGGGAACGAAGGACTGGGACATTACGAGACATAGATCATTTTTAGGTAGAGCTACATTTCCCCATGTGTAAGGGATCTCCATCCACCTGTCAGCAGCTGCTCTGAGATCCTGTAGTACCAGAGCTGGATGAAGAGAGAGAAGGGAAAAGTGCCAGAAAAAGAGATGCTGAAGACAGGACTTCGAAGGGCTGATCACCTGGAGTATTGCATAAAAGCCAAATTTGTGCCATAAGCACAAAATTGGAGGACCTAAATACAAAATTAAGACCCTAAGTACAGGCAGCTAAAAACCCTAAAGCCCTGATGTGGTGGATCATGACAGGTACTGCATTGTTCACGATGGAACAGAGCCTGGCCCTTCTCTTCTGTCAGGCTGTCAGAGAGCATTGCTCGGTTGGCCACCCCTACAGTAGCCAAAAAATGACTCCAATAGTTTTTCTTCTGCCTCTTCTAGGCCTCCTCTTCAGCTCAGTTATTCAGAGGAGAGCAAGGAAGGAGTCAGGAAAACACTGTCCCTGCCACTGGCAGCCCAACTGATAAGGTCCCTGGCTGCTGGCTGAGCTGCTCCCCCTCTGCTCAGGGTGCCCATTGCAGACCCCACCTGGAGCTCCCCTGACCCACCAAGGTGGGACAAACCCTGGACAACAGAGCCCTGGATTCAAGGCCTTAGGTGAGGTTACTTCCACCATCGAGTTAAAAGATTTTCTCCAGTGCTGTTTTATACTTGAAGGTCAGAAAATTTTAGGGATAAAAAATGGCTATTGCCCCACTCTTGGAAAGAGAATTTTTACTTTGCTTTGTAGGATTTATTTCTAGGCTTGTGACTTTGCAAGGAAAAAATCGATCAAAATCACATTGTTCTGATTCCCGTCACATCCTTTCTGTTCTTTTCCCTCTTGACTTTCCAGGCTGTTCGCAGTTGAAATCAATGCCATGCCACACTGAAAAGGCTGAAATTCTAGCTTTCCTAAGGGAAAATATTTCCCCACACATCCCTATGGGAGAGATTCAGGCATGTGTCCAGCAGCTTGGGACAATTCTTGGAGATGCTTCATCTTGTCTCCTTCCCCATGTTGCTCTGGACATGGTAATTCACAACCACAACAGGCTTCCATGCCTACAAATACAGGAATGTGACTAAGTACAGGGGCTTCAAAGAGCTGAGAAACAGGGGAATGTGGTGGTTAAAGGCTGCTGTGTTTTTTATGTTTCTGTGGTCTATTTTTAGCAGCTGTGGTTGCTGTGTATCACAACCCTAAGTCATCTCTGAACTTAGAGTCAAAAATACGAAACTGGAAAACAAGTTAATTGGACCCACAGACTGGCCAGAAAGGAATCCTCTCTCAATATTCATGGACCAAATAAACATAAACAACTGTAAAAATGTCTTTTTGTTCTTTGTGGCTAAACACAGGCCTTCTCTGCTGCTGATCCTTTGGCTGTACAGTAAACTGTCCCAGCATCTGTGCTGTGAGTAGCTGTTGCTGGGACTTTGAGGTTTTCCAGGTCAGCCCCACAAAAATGTTACGGCTCTTACAAAGTGCTAGGGGTGACTGCCAGGCTTTGCACCTCTTCTTTTATGCTTGAACCCTTTTTTCACTTAAATCATTGGTATGTCAGTGTACTTGTACTGAAATTATTTGTTTGCTCCTGATTTGCATCAGTGGAAGTCAGAAGAGCATCAGTCCACTTGTGCTCTGTTTTCTTGGCCAGTTTGAAAGAGAGTCTACTCAAACCAACACACTTCTCTACCTGGTGAAGCAATGCAATATCTCAACTTACAGGTTGCTCTGTTGCTTTTGTTCTTTGCTGTCTGTGCATGCAGAGAGGCTTTTTCCCACGTTTGCTATTTGATTTCATGTTTTCTTGTGCCCAGTCTGTCCCTCTGTGCCTCTACTTTTCAGTTACTGTTTTTAAAAATTGCTCCAACCCCTCTCTTTTGCCATCTCAGAGAAAAGGCACAACTGCATTATTGTACTGAGTGAATGCATTTTCTTATACATGTAGCTGAATGGGAGATTATTTAAATATCTTAAACACTCTCTTAATTGGAATAATGATGTGCTAGGAATGGGAGTGCAAGGAAAATTTATATTCAGGCTCCTAAATTTCAGTGAATGAGTAATCAACACTCCATTATTTCCTACAAGGTTAAACAATTTTTAAAAAGCAAATGGTTACCGTAAAAACACCATTTGACTGCACTAAAACAAACAAACAAATGGAAACCCAAATATGGGTATTCCTGATGATCTTTAGACCATGTGAGAACTTTGTGGATCCCATGGCACAGGAGAAGCTGACTTGGAATGCTGTTGGCTGATGCCTCAGGGCTGCCCACCAGCCTCTGCTCCATGCTTGCCCCATTCATCCTGTCATTCCTCACCTTGTGCTGTCCTGGTGCTGGTGTCAACACCTGTGCCCCAAAGCCAGTGCTCCTAGCCAGATCTGGGGGCGATTTGGGTTGAAAAGTAACCCAGCAATGTATATTTGCTTGTCTGTGTGTGTGACTGAAAGGCTCCATTTCCCCCTGTAAGGGGATTCATGGAAAGGCTGTACCAAGGTCTGTGCTGGCAGGAGGGCAGGCAGGAGCAAGGGGAAAATGGAGCAAGCCCGGGAGCTGGGGAGGAAAACATCTCTGACTGATATTACTGCCAAATATTGGATCTTCTGGAGTCACTGCCTTAGACCAGAGCAGTTGCATTGGTGCCTGTAGCCTTTACCTAGCAAGGCTGGTCTGTCTTTACAGCTTCACTTATTATAATCAACAGGTTGGTCATTTTCATGGTCAGTTTATTGCTGTAAAGTCAATTATATGCAGTTATTCAGAAGTCAGTGTGTATTGGCCCAGTATAATCTATTTTATATACGAAATCTAATTTTCATGTCATCCTGCATATTTGCAATAATTACAAAACACTTTTAATCATTTACCTAGAAGAGCCTTCGAGCAGTTCTGAGTGATTAAGCATTGTTGCCACTACTCTCTTTTGCATTCTCCAGTACTATGCTTTTCTTTTCATTGTTTCTTTCCTGCCAATTGTTTCTGTAGTTAATATCATTGGGTTTGATCTGAAGCCCATGGAGGTGAATGCACAGTCCATCATTTACTTGAATAGGCTGGTGATCAGACTTGCTGCAAATGCTTTAATAGGCACAGGTTAAGGACTTGAAATGTAATCTGTGTTCCTACTGCAATTTCAGCTTGCTCCATCAGATATTTATGCAGAAATGGAAAACTCTCCTAGGCACAACACTGGGAAGTAGAGGTCTACACTACATTTATTCCAGCAGTACTTAAAAATGCCAACCATAGCACAGGTTGCCCTGTGCCTCACTCAAGCACCCAGCAAGAGAGAGATGGAGAGAGGCAAACAGGCAGTTTGTGGCAGAACTGAGGCTTAAATCCAGGTAACATTAACTGCAAGTTTAGTGTCTGTTCTCCCTGCTCTCTATTATGCCTCTCATTTTGCTGAGGCACAGCAGCACATGTACCTGTGCAATATTCTCTAACCCTGTCTGCCTGATAAAAACACAGGAGGCAGAATATTAACCTAAAAGGAAGGGCTGACTCTGGGGTGTTTCTATCAGCCCTGGTGCTGTTTGCTTGCACAGCAGTAATTATGGACTCTGCCACAGACAGCATGAATGATTCTTTCCAGTGACTCCCTGATAAGAAGACGCTGGAAGAGATCATGTGCACACGTCTCACAGAGCTCAAAGTTTTCTAATCCTTTTGCCATTCCACTTTTCAGCATTATCAGGTGTGCTGCAATACCCAGCCTTGGAGGAGAGACTTGAGCTGAAGGGATGTTTGCTGTCCAGTTTATCCAATCTTCCTTGAAAGCAGCAATCCCTTTTACTCCCAAAGGAGTAAAAATGTAAAAATTCGAGCTCAACTTGAAGTGAATCCTTGTTCCCACTAATTACTCAAAACAAAGCACAAGCGTTAGTGCACTGTCCCTTCTGGAAAATATACCATGCTCTCAAGTTATGGGAGTTAACTCCAAAGATAGTTTAACTGCTAAAAGAGTTGTATTTTTTTTTCACAGCAGCATCATGAGCACACATGAGTTATCATGAGATGAAAAACAGGCACTCAGCAGCAGATCCTGAAGTCAGCAGTTCTGGACAGACATCTGAGCTGATCTCAGCAAAACCACATTGTCATCTTCTGACTGTTTCCACCTCTTGTAAACAAATGAACATTAACCATCCAGAAGCTGTAAAAACTAAAAGCTTTTTTTAAAAAATTAAACCCTATTTTTAGAAATTAAGGTGTCTCAAATCTCTTCTTTAAGTTTCTTGAACTTTTGTAATTCACCCATTGATCTAAATGTAGATTCAGATATTTATGCTGGATTTATTTTGCATTACCCTCTGGCCACTTGCTGACTCTCTCTCAGACACTACATGAACTCTGGTGACAAATAGAGCTTCGTCTGTGCCAAACAGGAAAAATTTAAAACTATTTATCTGATATGACAGTATTGATAATAGTGCAGAGAAGCACTTTGGACTTCTCCTAAAGGGTAGGCTGATGTTCATTATCTTCTGTTTGCATTTGTTTTTGTTCCATGGAAGAGAGATTAGGAGACAGCCATCTTAGCTCCCTGTTTAGCAGTAATAAAGAAGATGGTAACACATTGTTTGCTTGATCAATAAGAGTGACTTTGGAATGCAATCTAACTTGCTTTCTGAGTAATTGAAGTAAATAGACTTCAGTTCCCAAATGCTGCCTAACTCCCAACTGCCAAAATAGGGATTTTTAAATTACTTGCCTCCTACAGCTGGTTAGTAATATGGACAGAAATTTGTAGGCACCATCCAGATCTTCCTTTGTAAAATAATTTTCCTTCATTGGTAAAAATCTTCAATAATCTAAATAAAAATCCCAGTGTAAGCACCTCTGTCTTGTAGAAGGTGAGGCACAGGACGAGCAGAAGTATAATGGAGATCACACAGATTGTGCAAGGTACAACTCTTGTATTCTTTCCTAAAATGAAAAGTACTTGCTAAAAAGCAATCCCTTGGTAAGGCAGTCAGTCACCTCAATAAGGGAGCCAGCAGTAACCACATTTTTATGTTTCTCAGAGCCTGAAATTGTTTTCCAAATACATCAGTTAATGTCAGCTTTGCCTACTTCTGGTCTTATTTCTAACGTTCCTCTGTATTTCGCCCACCGACCGATGTTTAAAGCCTGGACATTTTCAAGGGATAGCTCTATAGAAGCTGGAAAAAATCCCAAATCACTTTAACATAGTTGAATACTTGAAACAACATAAAAAATAATGATTGAATTACCTCACATCACCAAGTTCCTAGAACAGAGTTTTTGCAGGGCAAATGTAACCTTGCTGTTCTTCCTCTGCCCGCTGCTGTGGGAGTATGAGGTGGGTCAAGATGCAGCCCAACATCCTGGTGCCAGCCTGGTACTACCACACTGCTGCTCAATCTAAAACCTCTTCTAGCCTTCTCTCTCTGCTCTTGGCACCTGTGCAGGTGGAAAGGACAGGTGCTGGCATCTCCCCTTCCCATCAGGGCACTCATGCCCTCTATTTGCAGCACTCGTCCTTCCTGTGCAGATGTAGGAGCCACAAACTAGAAAGTGCTTTGAAGTCTAATGGCTTGGTAGCACAGTGAAATGTTAAAAAAACCTCTAAGTCTGTCAGGGGAAAATCCTCGTCTTTGAGGCTGCTACCACAGGTATTTATGGTAAAGAAAGGCTGGTCCAAATTCAAGGCTATGCCTTCCAGATTGGTAGCTTAAAAGAGGCAAAGCACAGGGGAAGCACATGGCTGACCAAGGAGCTCCTCCCAAGCTTGTGTCCTGCAGCACCCAGAACATTCACAGACAGAAAAAAAATGCTATTCCAGGTAAAGGGGAAATGGTAATAAATATCCTAAGCACCTCTCCCTTCCTGGTGTGTTGGCATACTGATAGTGTCTGAAAGGAATCAAACAGGATCCTGCCTCACTCCTCTTATCTGAACATCCTTCTGATCAGCAATGAATGTCACCCCAGGTGGCTGGATGGGTGCATGTCTGTCTGCACTCACCTGCTGAAAACTGCCACCATGCACTTGTGGCTGGAGGAGATGGAAGTCACCACACTGGGAGCAGGAGTTCCCAAGCTGGGGCATGGCATGACTGAACTGCACTGCTGGCAAAGTGCACAGAGTCTGACAGCCCATGAGAAGAGAAAACCCTGGGGGGATAGAAAGCAAAACAGTCCAAAAATAAATGTAAGTGAAAGGGGTGTGCAAAGGCTCCCTTCCATTGGCTGGTAGCTGCAGGCTCATGCCTTCATGCAAGGGCACCTGGGGCTCACACTGATTTTGTCCTCTCCAGCAGCCCTGGCTGTGTGATACAGTTTTCTGCCTGCCATGGAGACAGTGTGTTGGTCTTGGATGAGGACAGCCTCTGATGTTTGGCCTGGGGATCATCCCTGTGCTCCAGAGCAGGGTCTGCACCACAATTCTGCACATGAGCAGGCACCTCCTCATTGGAATGGCTCCTTCCCGTGTGAACTCACTCATTGTGGTTCTCCCTGGGCTTCTTGTAGGCTCTTAGCAGGGCTGTGGGCTCCATGGCAAGATGCTGACACAGCAAGTGGGAAGGGATAGTGGAAAGACTCGAGGTCCAAGGAACCCAGCACAGCCACATGATAACAGACTAGCAGTAAATTTGTCTGCTGCTTGCAGGTCCACCTGCTTACTTCTACCAGTTTTACTGGGTCAGATTTGGATACGGCTGCAACATTCTGTTCCTCCATTTCCTTGTCTTAAATGTGAACATTTTGTTTCAGGACATGAAAAGGGACTGGGGTTTGGTTGCTGAAATTTCAGAAAGAAGGAAACATTGTGCCTTGTCTTTCCAGTTCTTTGTAATGACTTGGCTTTCTGGGTCTTCCCTGGGGGACTTTCCACTTCCTTCTGCCAATTGTATACAGAAATTATTTACTGATTCATATCCTGGACCCTGGCACCTGCTAATTAGGTGTCCATAAGGGCTGCAAGTAGGTATGTCCTATGCAGGGCTTCCAGAACTTACCTCAGAAACATAGTTAAGTGAGGATTTCCTTTAGTGCCAAAGTTCACTCAAAAATCTCCCTCCTTCATTTCTCTACCTCAGGCTACTCATTGTCCTCCTCCTGGACTTCTCCATCCCCCAAGTTTTTCTTTATAGTACAGCAGAGCTCCACAGAGACTTACATGGGCATAATCATGACATCAAGGAAAGATGCAGGAACAGCAAGGAGACAAGTGTCCATCCTCACTGAGTCTCTGCAAAGGACTTTTAGGTTCCAGTGATGTCTCCTAAGCTCCTGCATCTAAGCTTTGGCAAGACTAGAGAACAAAGCAATTTAGACTATGTCTCTTAAGTGTTTAATGGCCAAGAGCTGTTAAGTGTTTAATGTTCTCAGGAGAACCTGTATTAGCTGTACACAGTTTTATTGCACACCCTGTGGCTCTCCCCAGTGGGCCATGTAATGCAGGGGGTTCAGACCACTCTGTGTTACTTTCACACTCCTTTTTGTTCCTCTTATTTCCTGCTGACTTGACAGCTCTCGTGATTCCTGCCTGTGTCTGTGTAAAAACCAGCTGCTGATTCAGCTGTGGCTCTCGCAGGAAGGGGACCTGAGTTTGGGTTTTGAGGAGGCAGGCCAGGATCCTGGAGCCTTCGCCTGTCCCCAGGGGAACCCCAGAGCCAGGAATGAAGAAGAAGACAAGTTTTGGTTTCAATTCACTTTTTAAAACTAGTGCCTTTTCAAAAACCAGTTTCCATAGTGACAGGGAACTGTAGCACCATTGTAAAGGTCCAAAAAGCCCTGGCTGAGTATTAGCCAGAAATTCAGCAGTGTGGCCAGCTCCTGAGAAGCTTTCCCCAGCCCCTGCTGTGCTCACAGCAGGGTTCTGCTTCAAACACCTTTCTGCCCGCCAGCCACACTTTTGGCTGCCTGTGGGCTGTGCTACTCCTGAGCATTAGGGCTTAATCACAGGTAAAATGATGTTTGTCAGAAAAATGAATTTACTTTGCATTTAGCACTTTCATAAAAAAGGAAAAGTCAGATTTGAAGACAGCTTTCACCCATTGTTTTCTTTTGCAGAATGGTGCAGAAACCATGAAATGTGTTCACGATCATCCATGGAGCCAGCAGAGACTGCCTAGGTCCTATTTAATTCTTATTTATTAGAACGTGCTGCCTCTCACCTTCCCTTTTGCTGTCATAGGGGGTACTTCCATCCATGCTACAATCCAGACCTCCCAAAAGGGCCTACAAACTCTCACACAATCCTGTTGTTGTCCTGGTCCCCACCACAACACACAAGAAGCATGCCAGAGAGAACATCCTCCCTGCTGGGCTCAGAGCCAGGTGGTGGAGGTGACAGACACCACCACTTCCTCATGCAGCTCCTTTGCCCTTATCCTTTGTTATCTGCTGGATTATGTTGCAGTCTGTAGTATGCAAAGATACACAACCACAGCACTCTTACAAGTTAACTCTCAGGTAAAGTTACAGGCACCTGTCAAGTGATTTTGTTACCTGTGGCTTTTAGGTAACGTGCATTATGCTTGTGTAGGAGGCAGAGAAAAGTGTGGTTGTGCTATTTTACAAATCTCAGGAAGCCCTTCAGTAGGTCTGGACTTAATGCCTTTCCTCAGGAATAGCTGGGACTGTAGGGGACTGTGGGCTTCAGTGAGGGTGTCTGTGGCCTGTGTGCCACCCAGAGTGCAGAGCCAGCCTGCCAGGCAGGGTGAAGATACTGCCCAAGGGACACAGGGACATGACAGCCTCAGCATGAACCACTGTGCATGTGGAAATTCCAAAACAGAGCCCAGACACTGAAGGCAGGACACCAGCCTGACTCAAAGCATGCACCAGCCACCTCCCCCCTCCCCAAACCAAGCACTGTTATCCCTTTCAGTTTTATGATAAACTGTAATTTTTCTCAAACATTTAACAATCATTATTCCCTTCCTACTCCTCCTATTTTTGCCTGCGTATCCATGCAACAATTTTGAGGCTGAGATCACACATAAGAAAACAGAATGGCAAGTAACATAGTTTTTGTTAGAGAGTTGAATGTTTTGCATGTTGCTTCCTGTTAAACGATTGGAAATGGCATACTCAAACAAGAAGTTGTCCTTCTGGTGCAAGACCTTAACACTGATGCAAAAGGCCAAGTTCTGCAGGAAAGGAAAAAAGAAAGAGAGGCATATTTGGACTGGTTTTTATGCCAGTATTTTCAACATGAGGGTAGATGTACTGCACC